GAAATTTATGTGAAATCCCGGATATACTCTCATAGTGAAACAAAGTAATAGGACCTTCTTCAGTACGGGACACTGCTCTACATGTGCCATAACGAAGCCTCTTCGGTGACTGCGCAGGTCTGTGGCGGGACCTCATGCGGACGAACAGCGAAAGTTTGCGGCCACTCGGCGTTCACCAGACTGCTGTTTGAGGTCAAGAGAGCCGTCGGCCAAAGCGACGTCATTCACACCTGGAGTTTGCCAGGAAGCTGCGACAGAGTCTGGAAGAGGCCAACGTGACAACGTGGCAGGATCTCATGGACCCCAGCGGCATCTGAGGCGGTGCCGTGTGGCGCGAGGAGATCGCTCGAGGCATCACGAACGCGTCTGTTAGTAGTTCTTCGTATTATGACGGAAAACTACGCGTCCTTGGAGTGGTGTCTGAAGGTGTTAGAGTTGGTCAAGCAAGTTGGCACTCCCATTATGGCTGTGTCCACCGAAGGCGACAAAATGCAGACGAGAACCTGCAGGTGTATCTATACACGCGTGAGATCGTTCCGTTTGAATCGGCGAGCATCAAACCTCAGGAAACTCCGGTGGACCGCTCCATTAAGCGGAGCGCTTAAAACTGCTTGCTTCAAGGAGGTCTTGCGATCAGGTTGAAGCGATCAGCCTCGGCGGTTGCTGCGGAAATACCGTCTGAGCTAGAAAATGTGAAATTACAAAAACAGCAACCACGCATGAAGTATTTAACGGTATTTAACCAAAGTAGGGAATTTAACGTACTTAAAGTTAATAACGGTAGAAAAAATCGTAACAACTCTAGTCCTACGTAGGAGTGTGGCCCTTACGCCGTAAGTTACGGAAGACCTCCTATCTGATCGGGTGCTTCCGACTAAACTTTAGCCTAACCCTGTGACGAAAAAAAGACGATGCCAATCAAAGAAAAGGGGTGTTGCTTTACATACTCGCGAGTAAATTGTTGCACTTCAATCGGCAATTTAGATGACCGCTCATTCTTTGGGGTGTCGTCGACATTTCCTGTTGTCTTGAAGAGATGGTACCATCCCCGAAGGCTTCTGGCCGAGACGCCCAGTACACCGGCAACTACGCTGATCTCAATATTGCAGACATACTGTAAGACAATGCCTCGCCAGCGTATGTCTGATGAGTAGCCCATATTTGATTTAAAATCAATCTGTTGTGGATACCTTACGTAAGGGTAAATGGCCGGCAAATACTGGCCATTCACCCTTAATTTGTTAAAAGGTACCCTTTAGACCAAATCGGAGCCCTTACGTAGGACCTCCACAATCAAGTATTATTGGCTCATAGTCGACAAAATCAAACAGTGTGATTGGTCAAATATCATTTTATTTAGTGGCCTGACTTAGCAATTCAACTCCAGTTCGTCCTCAAATCCCACCTTTAGCCCTACCCACCCTTGCTTAGGACCTGCCTTTAAAGGTCAGATTGGCCAAACTTTGGAAAGGCACAATACAACATGTACTTTGCACATTAAGAAAGCTCACCAAGGTAGCGTGGTTTCTTTGGTTGACATTTTTTTTTCTTCAGTTATAACTCTCTTTACACCCAGTTCTATTGTTTAAATCATGGTAGAGTTTCTTTCCAGCATTGTCTGGTGCAGCGTCTGGACCCAACGCTCGGTGTTCTCTCGCATCTCGTGCCAACCCGAGAGAGGGATCTCATACTGCGGGTGATGCACTCTGCTGTGTACCCATCGTGTAACCACGACGATTCTCCCTTCATCACCATTGCAGCTCGAGGTGTTCTTCGTACTGGTGTGTAACTGAATCGGGTAGGACGTGAGTTCCAGTACAGCGCTGAAGTCTCGACGGATGCGTTCGTGCGGATGATAGGGGCTCCTTTCGTCTTCGTCAATGAAATCGGCGACAAAGAGTCCGTATCCGTGCTCATGGCCTGGTTCGCTTCCTTCTTCTTCGTAGTGTGAAAAATAAACCGTGTTCGATTCCATTCTCAAGCCACCGATAGTCGTAGAAACTAGTCGATTCTGCGAAATTTCCGGTGCTAAATTGTCGTCATCCTCGCGAATTGTAACGTTGCCGAGCTTCTCCGATACGCAAATCTCGATACTGCTGAAGTATCCGAGAAGAATGTCGAACACCTTTTTGACGCTGCTCTCGAACTGGTAAGTGGAGAAGTAGGTGGCATAGAAATCTCCGTTCGGGGCTTCATACCCATGATCTTCTCTCATAGATTTATACGGGTTTATTCGCGGACATCGTTCTTTGAGGAAGCGAGCACCCATTTCCAAAGCATGTGCCTTGGTGGTCGCAAGGGTAGCGAGACGGGATTCACTATCTTTTAGTAGGTGAATTTCTTGGTGAATTGGACTGCCCACTCCAGTACTCTGCATACGTAAAAGTGATTAAGATTCAATTCAGCACTTTGATCGAGGAACTTGTACTTACAAATAATGAGTATTCCGACATTAGCGCATGGAGTTGGGTCACTTCGCGCTGCTGTTTCTGGATGACACGTCGGAGTACTCTGTTAGCGGTCGCAGCTTCACTCATGGTCTCGTCCGCAGTGCAAGGTTTTATCGCACGAGCGTTCAACTGCTCCATACGAGTATGCAGATGCGCCAACTCCTTCAATAGCTTTGCGATTTCTTCCTGCTCAACACAACACGAAATGTCGTGATTTTAACATAAAACACCAGTTTCTACGCATATTCTCGCTCACCTTGCGGATATCGATCGTGGACTTGCGGTGTTTGCGCTTGACCCGCTTCTTCGGCGCTGCATTCGCATTGTCGTAATTCTCTTGGAATCCGTGCTTGCGCCCAGCACCTCTATCAGAATCCATTCTACTGGTGACAAGATGCAGCTCCTTCTTCACTCGAGGCGCAGTCACCGCAGCATGGACTTCATCGTCCGACGCGTTCAACTCGTTCATGGCCTCCAGCCAGCGCGTCGCGGCGTGAGTGACCGAGTCAGGTGTAGGCGACACCGACTCGGAGCCAGATGAGGACGATTTGCCACTTTCTCGCCCGGCAACATCCATCACAAATAGCTATGTAGTGTCGTAAGTTGGGCCTCTTCGAGCGACACTTGCGACTTTCGTGCTCAACTTGCCTTTGCTACGCGAGCTTGCTGCTTGGTGTGTACCGACTGTCGGTAAGTGGCGGTAGTGTGGCGGTAGAGCTGTAATCGGTTTATGCTCTAAGGGAGTGATGGGTTGATAGCTTCAATCTGCTCCTCCAATCACAGACGACCAGCTTGCAGCCCTCCATGATGGAGTCTATCGTCGAAGTGTTGAGCAGCAAGCAGACTCTGCTGCAGAGTCTAGCAATTGCCGAGTGATGTTCTGTCGCACCAGCTTACTGGCAAGTGGTTTTATCAAGCCTTCTAGCTACACCTTCAACACTTCTACGAGGCCTCAGATATCCAAGCAAACTCATGCCTCCAAACGATGCAACAGCTCGCTGCAATAGTATCACCAGAGCGAAAGTGGTGGCTGTCACTAGTGGCTGAGAGATGGCCATGACACTATCAACAACTGCCGTCGCACACGCGCTCACCGGCTTTTAGCTCGGGTCTCGAGTCTCGCCAAAAACTGTAGGTAGATGTCGGTAGATGTCGGTCGACATGGTAATCGCTTATGCGCACTGTGTTCTGATTGGTGGAGACCACCAATGACCTTGCAAATCACCGGCAAGCTTGACGCCCGCTTCAACATGGACACTCTCAAAGTGGTCCCCAACTCGTGCCTTTCGTGCCGGTGTCAACTGCCGCAGCCTTGTCTACAGTGTGCGATGATGTCTCCCGAGCACTAGGACCTTCGTCACTCGATTCTCCTTTACGCCAAAGCATTTAACCCGCCTCGCCAGTCGAGTCATTCTGCAATTCGCATTATAGTCCCCACGTCTTCCTCACCATGTTCGCCTCCACCAAGATCACCACGCGTCTGGCCTCCGCCATGACCACGCGCAGCTTCACCGCCAGCGCCCCCAAGCACATGAAAGTCGTGTGTGCACTGTACGAGGGCGGCGAGAGTGGCAAGAAGAACCCAAACATCTTGGGCTGCGTCGAGAACGAGCTGGGTCTGCGTAAGTTCCTCGAGGACCGCGGCCACGAGTTCATCGTCACGTCCGACAAGGACGGAGACAAGTCTGAGTTTGCTAAGCACCTACACGACGCCGACGTGGTCATCTCGCAGCCCTTTTGGCCGGCCTACATCACTCGCGAACGCATTGCAAAAGCGCCTAAGCTCAAGCTAGCGATCACCGCCGGTATCGGCTCGGACCACGTAGACCTGGCAGCGGCATGTGACCGTAACATCACAGTGGCCGAAGTCACGGGCTCCAACGTCGTGAGTGTAGCCGAGCACGTCGTCATGATGATCCTCTCGCTTGTACGCAATTACATGCCTGCCTACAAGCAGGTGATCGACGGGAAATGGGACATCGCAGCCATTGCCAACGACGCTTACGACCTCGAGAACAAGCACGTGGGTGTCGTCGCTGCTGGCCGCATCGGTCTGCGTGTACTTCGTCGTCTTCACCCGTTCGACGTTAAGTTGCACTACACTGATAAGGTGCGCTTACCTGCTGATGTAGAGAAGGAACTTAACGTCAAGTACCATCCGACGGTGGAGAGTATGGTCAAGGAGTGCGATGTGGTGTCTATTAACTGCCCACTACACCCGGAGACTGAGAATCTCTTCGACGCTGAGCTATTGAGTAAGATGAAGAAGGGTGCGTACATTGTCAACACCGCTCGAGGCAAGATTGTGGACAAGGACGCACTGGTTAAGGCTGTGGAGAGCGGCCACATTCAGGGTTACGCCGGTGACGTGTGGTTCCCGCAGCCTGCTCCAGCTGACCACCCGTGGCGCTCGATGCCGCGTCACGCTATGACGCCGCACTACTCTGGCACGACACTGGACGCGCAGGCTCGCTACGCTGCTGGCACCAAGGAGATCCTTGAACGTTTCTTCGACGGCAAGCCGCAGCGTCCGGAATACCTCATTGCTGAAGGTGGCAAGGTCACGAGTCCGTCCTACACGCACGGTGACGCCACGTCAGGATCGCTGTAGATGCAGCAACGACGCCGTAGAGATCAACGCTACTGCACGTGGGAATTGGCGTTGCTCTTTATCGACGGACTTTCACGATTATGAGTAATTGAAAGAAATGAAAAGAAATTGATCAGTATATCGATCTACTTAAGTAAGTTAAGCATTCGATCAGAAGTGCAACAACACCTTTATACAACAGAAGTGCAACAACACCTATATACAGTACACACTTGTACGATCATTGGTGTACTGACACCGTCTCGTTATGAAGAATTTATTAACAGGTAGACCAGATTAACAGGTAGACCAGACGTGTATTATTCGGTAGATTTGAGCTGATTGGCATATATTATCCAATTTTGTCACACTACTTTTCAGGGCGAATGAAGGAAATATAACTGGGACAACGAGGTCGGTAGTGCATGTTGCATCGAGTTCATCAAATTCTTGCAAGTTGATGACGCACAGCAAGACCGCTGCGCAGTGTTATCCAAGATCACCGTGACGGATCGCTTTTTCCGTGAACTCATCGTTTCTTGGAAGCTCAACCGCGTCGATATCTCACTTCGTTTCGTATTTCACAGACACGTAGAATTTACCTGGAGACTTAGATTGAGCCGTCAGGAAAATTCATTCCACATAATGTAGTCATTTCATGCCGTTGCCGTTGGTAATCTTGGAATCGAATGCGACTTAAACAGAGAACCCACAACTCCGGTAGTTTGCCGCGATATTGGCGGAAGCAATGCAAAACTGTGTGGCGCTAAAGTCGAACAAAGTGATCTATACCATGCCGATAATTCTACGCAAGTTTGCACGTTATTTTTAGGATGCGATCCTGTTTTATGATGACCATAATATTTTTAAACAGTTTTTATTTTTGTCGTGACCCGTCGTGGTGCTTTTCTTTTCGTCGCAGTAACGATGACCGCGCATGCTATCGAATCGAAGCCCCGCAAGGCCATGAATCCAGATAGGCTCCGCAAGTTCATCGACTCACCAAGTGTTGCGAATGCCACTCGGAACGTCCCAATGGCGATTGTAAAGCGCCAAACGCAAGTCACTTCCTGGAATGGAGAGCAATGCGACGTTCGCGCATTCGAGAAGTTAGCACCATCAGCACATGTCATTCTTGCGAAAGATCTTCGTTCATGCGCTATCGGCAAAGGAAAACCTGTCGCGTTGGTGCCCAGCGGCTTGCAGATCAACGACGTCACCGTCCTGTAAGGCAGCAATATCAATACTCTTTTATGGTATCTCTCACCATACGCTCTTGTTATGATGCAGACCGAAGGATCAACAACTCCAAGATCAGTTAACAGCCCCGTTGATGACCAAGAAAGAAACGTTTGCTCACGCTGCGGAGATCGAACATCGTGCTGTCCCTGGATCAGTTATACTGAAAGAAGGTATTATGACTCCACAACAACGACGAGAGAGACTGCACTTCGAGACGGATCATCTTCATGCCAAGCGTGCTCTTCATCGCGCAGACACGAACGATCGCAGACTCCACCAGATCATGTACGTTTAACAGTTCAGATAAAAATCTGGTGGGATGTTTCGAATTGAATAACTGATGTGTATTTTGCAGCAAGGAGCGACATTCGACTTGTGATGTGATAGGCACACAACAAAATGCTCCTGATGCAACAAAAATTCGTGGAGAAGCCTACAAGCCCGATTTATTGAGGTAAAACAGCGCTCGATAACTTGAATATTGATGTTAATTAACATGTAGTTTTCGTTGCAGTCACAACGCAACAGGAGCTTCCGGTCGCGAGTATCAGAGCAAAAACTGCAATGCAAATCCTCGGTTACAGCACCACGACAGGCTATTCAACGAAACACCACTCGACTGGAACCAGCAAAGGTTAGTTTCCTTTTTCTTTACTTAAAAACTGTTTTTTTTTAACTGCTTGCATGTTGCCAGAGCCCAAAACTTACGCAATCAAAGCACTGCAGGACGCTCCTTCAACATCGTGAATGGCGGTCGAGTGGAGCATTTCCCACCGACAATCCCCGAGAAGCAACATCAGTGGCAAACGCATCCTTCGGTGTCCATTCACCCATATACTCGTTAAGAACACAGAATTTTTCAGACTTTCAGCATAATTTCATTTGCTCGTTCCAAACTTTTTTTTCTTAAACTAAAACACCTGCACATCTATACTATACAGACTATCTCTGTGTGTTCTGCTCCTGTGTTTCTCTCATCGAGAGCTAATTGTCCAATTGGAACTCTCCTTGCGGAGCGTTCACGACACCTTCCATGAAGGAAACCACTTGTCCTCCGCATGTTACGAACATCTTGTCGGATGCGAAGCCACGTCGACTCAGCGGAGGCACGTAGCCGTATGTGGTGGAATAACACGCGCAGTCACTGAATTTAGGCGGCGGTGAGGCTGAAAGCGACGAGCTTGTGGAGGACGGCGATGACGCATATGAAAACTCCGTCGCCATTTGTCGCGGCGAGTTGCGTGCCCAGAATTCGAGCCGCTGTCGCTGCGCTGTTAAATGTTTCAAGTCCTGTCGATAACAATTAACTGTTAGCTATCATTTGATATTTCGTGTGTGGTAAAATTTCTGACGGACCTGTACGGACATCCCACTGCGGATTTCGCAGCCGTCCAATGCGTTGTTGCTACTGGGGATTGAAGAACCGTGACGAGTGTGCTTGGTGGCGACCATTGCAGGTAATAAGCTTTAGGCTGGGGGCTACTCTGCAGCTTGGCGAGAGTGAAATGGCGGTCCTGAGGATAAATCTTTTGTGCCGGTCAAAGTCGCCATCGATGGCAATTCGGAAGCCGAGGGGTTTCGCTCGAAAAATAACGGACAGTCGGTCGAAAGTTGAAGCAGATGGGAGCGACATACTGAGACCAAGTGAAATGCGCAGAAACGCGCCTGATAACTAACTTGAAGGCTGCCCGCGATCTTGTCAATCGTGCCCCTTCAAGTGATCTTTTCTGCCAATAATAAAATTCCGTTTGGACGGGTTTCATTGGTTGATAAGACGCTTCAACGTCCGACTCAGTCTCCGTCCGACGGTCGCACACCTTCATTCGTGACTTGGAACGCACAGGTCTCAGCTGGCAGGTACGGCGAGTAGGATACGTCCAGTCGACGACGCGTGGAGTCCTTATGCCGCATGATCATGAGGCTGATGGAAAGCCGATGAACAAATTGCAGTTGCATCAGTCCGACGTGCCAACGGTCTCGGAAAAAGGAGGAACGTACCGTTGGTTGATGCAGTGCGACCACGATAGCCCCAGCGCTGGCCGCAGCCCGTTCCCGTTTGAGCGAGGGTCAAAGTCGCCCGTAACTTGGTTGGTCACCACGAACACGACGCCGTATTGGTCGCTCAGGATGCGCATGCAGTTGGCCATGTGGAACATGGTGCGCGAGCGCTCCGCAGCTTCCTGCAACACCGCTTAGCAACATTGGAATAAGTTGGAACTTATCAGACGATTACTACCTTGACAGTAGACGTTGATTCTAGACGAAAGACAGCTGCAACCGAGTCCAACACCACCAGCTTGGTGTTCTGCTCGGCCAGCAGCGCCGGAAGTCGCGCTTGCTGCAGCAACGAACCACAACGGCGTCAGCATAAAAAACTCTTGATATGAGTACTGCTATTGTAATGCAGACCACAAGATCCATGAGGTCGTCGACGGTGTAGAGCTGCTCGACGAAGATGCCGTCCAGAAAGTCACTGCTAGTCAAGTTGGAACTCTGTTCGCCTCGCTTCCGCTTGGCACCAACGCCCATGACCCCACTGTATCGCTTTGCATACACCTGAGCGAGATCGTGCAGACGCTTGACGGAGCCCACGCCCTCTGTGCAGATATAGCAGGCTGTGCCCTGTAGCCCACCGAGCGATCGTGGCAGACAGCACTGTAGCAGCAACTGCAGACACAGCTGCGTCTTGCCCGCGGAAGCTTCGCCGCAGATTTCAGTCAAGATACCGGAGCGGAAACCACCATGCAGCAGTTCGTCGATGGAGTCGCAGCCGGAGGGCAGCACGATTGAAGTCGAGGCGCGGGCTTGCCATAGCTTTAAAGCCGTCCCTGCCATACTGAGACTGTTTGAAGCTGGTAGTGACGTGTCATTAAAACGAACAGAATACTGAGGGAAACCAGTATGTAATATGATAGTGTGGGTATGCTGATAGACGACACCAAAACGGATGGCTGGTAGGCAGTGCACTTGCGCTCAACGCTTCACTCCCCCCATTCCTGAAATGGACCGTTGGGAGTGAAGAGGTTCATGGCGTGTATTTAAGTCACAGCGGGTTGAATTACCGAAGAAGGAGCTGATGTCTATCCTGAGGGGCTGATATCTGATGATCGACAGCATACCCAAGTCCAGTACGCTGGCCTGATCCTTCCGTCTAGCCTTTTGCTTCTTCCTGAGGAAGCCGTTTATAATGCATCTGTCGTTCGCGTGCAGTCAAATCTGCCACAGTTGTTGCGTCCTCCTCCATGGCCAACCATACTGCTATTGGCTGCACATAACAAGCGGTTGTTCATGATAGGAACCCTTCGCTAACTACCACCGTGTTGCAAGGAGCCAATTACAGCCCACATGCCATATCGAAGCTTTCTCCATGTTGTTAGATCCTGACTGCGCTTATTGACCAAAGCTAGATGAGCATTGCGTAGGATACCGAACGTAAGAAGCGTAGTGCCATTGATGGAGTACACAGCCATTACGCATCATCGACTCTCGAGGTCTACAGAGAAGTGATCGTGTCGAAAGACTTGCCATTGATTGTTATCTGGTGCAAACCTTGGCCATTGTGCCATTGTTCAAAGGAACCACGTTACCTTGGTGAGCTTTCTTAAAGTGCAAAGTACTATATAGATCGTCATCGCTGTCTCTGAGGGTGTCTAGGGGTACACTCGTTGCTCTTATATGGGATGGTTGGG